TGTTCTTCTCTTTAGTTTCCAACAGTGTTGCCAGTTTTCATCTTTTTGTAATTCTTCATGGGTATTATAATGGAAATTGAAAGAAAGGAATATTAGGTCCTGCTGGTTTGCTCTGATGCTAACCCAGAAGTCCTACCAATTATTTTTCAGTAATGAGTAGGAAAAGGTTATATTAAGGGTGTTATTCAGTTATTTGTTTAATGATGCTTACTTCTTAAGTGGCCCACTTTTAAAATTTAGTAAGAATCCCTAATAAAAATGTACATGAAGAACTCTCTCTTCATATATAACTCTATCAAATGAGTTTAAGTTACATATTTCCTTACCAAATTTAATCAAAATTTTATAATTTCCTTGTTTAGCTGCTTTATTTACTGGAATATTTACATGTTAAGATGGCTTTTCAAGGAGCATGAGATTTATATAAACCCAATATCACCTGCACCCATATAATAGAGAAAGTATGTACTGCAAGGAATTGCATTAGTACAGTGGTTAAAAATATGAACTTTGGTTAGATCTGATTCAAATTCTGTCTCCTCCATTGATTGTTCATGTGATTTTTGGGCAAGTTACTTAACACTGGCAGGTATTGATTTCCTTGTGTATAAGTTGTTGTATTAGCACTACCTACCTCATAAGCTTTTATGTGGGATTTAGTGAAAAAACAAAACAACAATTAAAAACCCACAGGTATAAATAGCACAGTCCCTGAGCACAGAAACAACTCATTAGCTTGAGGTGAGGATGATGATGCTGCTTACAAAGGGTTAACACAGTGGACATTCCTCTGTGGGTATATCTTCAAGTTTTTAATTAGTTACTTCTTTATTTCCAAAATTTCATCTCAGAGAAAATTGACATGGCTATTTCTATTTCTAAAAATTTGATACTGCCTTCCAGGGTGTGGCTTTTTTTTATGACAGATGGTCAACAGCTAGTGGTAAAAAGAGTATGGAATGTCATAGCATTTCATTTATTTATGGGAAATGTTTTACTGCCCCACCCTTTAGATGGAAAATGAAAGTCAAAAACTGGAAACTCTATTTAAAACTGGACAGTACTGTGATCTCAGTGTCTGAAACTGTAGACTTTTAGAAAATATTTATGACATATTGGAAACTAGTCACTGATCAGTGTCTCCTTGCTTTGGTTTTAATTTTTGAACTAATCTGAAAAATATGAAATTTGGGGTAAATTAAAATTGAACACCAAAAACATCATCAGAGATAATCAGTTAAATATAATTTTATATGCTCTTTACTAGAATAAGATAGACAAATGATTATCTCTTTTTAAATTGGCTTATAATGCATATGATTCAGAGGTACAAGATCACACATCTTCAAAACATAATTGGCTTACAATGCTGGACGTGATTCAGAGGTAGGGGGTCACACCTCCTTAACGCATCGCCACCAAGTCCACCACAGTCCGTTGTGATTCCTTACCCTTACCACTTCCCTTCTAGTAGCCTTAGTTTGTTTGCAATAAGATTTATAGGGTTTGTTTTGGGTTTGGATTTGTCTCTTTCTATACTCCACATACAAATGAAACCATCTGGTATTTGTCTTTCTCCTCCTGGCTTATTTTGTAGTGCACATTCTTCCCCAGTTCCAAATAGCAAGAGTTCATCTTTTTTTTTTTTTTAAATAGCAGAGTATAGTCCATATTACTGAGTAGTGTATCTATCACACCTTCTTAGTATCACTGGATACTTGGATTGTTTCTATAATGCAGCTCTTGTAAATAGTGCTGCAGTGAACACAAGAGGACACATATCCCTTTGAAATAGTGTGTTGCTTTCTTCAGGTAGATGGCTAGGAATGAAATGGCTGGGTCATATGGTAGATCTATTTTTATTATTTGGAGGAACCTCCATACCATTTTCTGTAGATGTTGACCAGTCTAAAATTTCCCACCAACATTTTATGAGCGTTCCTTTTTCACTACTCTCTGACCATCATATTCCATGTTTTCTTAATCCACTTAACACTTGTTAGTAAAGACATTTGAAGTTAAGAGATATTTACTAATACAACCTTAGAAATATGCTGAATGAATGAAAACACAGCACTTTCAAAGAGATCCTGAGGCCCTGTATACATTTTACCAAGGAGATAATTTAGCATAGTATTTATGAGTGGGGAACTTGAGAGTCAGTCTCCCTGAGCTTCAAACCTGGTTTTATCTCCTGCTTAACCATATGATCCCGTAAGTCACCATTCATGTCAAGGTTATATCTATGGCATAGTGTCAAAGCTTAAATATATAATACATAGAAAGCATTTAAAACGGTACAGGCATGAAATGTGCCCATGTATTGGTTTAGAGGTAAATTTCTGTCATTAATGAGCAGTGTGAACAATGTGGTTCAGTTCTTTTTCTTTTCACAGTTGTCTGCTTCCTATCATAGGCATAAGGATAGAGTGCATTGTCCAGAAAGGACCCATGAATAGTCTCATAGATGCCTACCTTAAAGAAGCTAATAAAAAGCTTTTTTTACATCAGTGTGGAGCTAAAACATTTGCTGTTATAGATAGAAGCACTCATTACCAAGGTTTACTTAAAATCAGGGTATTTCATCAACTTGTATGACTATTGAAATATTATTTCTCATGAACATCATCAATCATTATTTAAAGATATAAATTTCCAAAATGTAATCAACAGTCTAGTGAAGACAGTTGCTTATGTAACTAAAATATACCATCTGACTAAAATGAAAACTAAGAAAAATTTCTAGTTAACAGGTTGCAATACACTTTTTTTAATATACTGTAGATAATGAGTAGATTATATGACTTAAGCTATATATAACACTGATACTCTACTAAAAAGAAACTTCACATGAGAAAGGATATCATAGCATATCTTCCAAATTAAATAAAGTGTATTTCATAAAGGGAACTATAGCCAACAAGAGAAGAGTAGATAGAATATTAGTTTTCCTTTGTATCTGCATGTTATTTTTATGTCTGTCTGAGGTTATAGATTTGTCTCAAGTTATATATTCTTTCCATGTCTGCAGAAGTCAGGATCCAAATTTTGTAATAAAAGGTATTGTTTTTAAGTAACTAACTTAAATAATACCATATCCCAAGTACCATGTGCTTTACATATATTGCCTCATTTAATCCTTTTAACCCTATAAACAAATACTTTCATTCACAATCTGCAAGTGAGAAAAACAAGGGTCATGTTTATATCACCAGTAACTTGTGGAGTTGAGAAGTATATCCCAAACAGCTATGCTCTGAAAGACAATGTTTTATTGCGTATGAGAGTGAGCCTTTGGAGCTGGTTAGAAGGAATATTATACACTATTGAAGCAGCTGACAATTTTCACTTCCAAGTGCTTTGGTTGTATATAAATGGAATTTTAGGACAGTTTAATTGTACAAGAGAATCACAGAAATAGTGTAAGTTTGTGGTATTTCATATATATGTATGATGGAAATGACACTTATGATAATACAGCAATAATCAATCCTGTAATAATCAATCCTATAATTCTGAGTTTAATGTGGCTACTATTTATCCACAGGTTGTTGTGAAAACAGTTCATATCGTTAAAAACTGTTCTTACAATCACACTTTTTTCTCCCTCCAACTACTTTGACACACACACCTTTAAGGAAGAAATTGTGTCATACGCTGAAAATTTGTGCTCCGGGTACTTCTACCTCTATGCAATGGTTTATCAGAAAGACTGGTTGTAAGAAGTCATCTCAAAGTACTTACTGAGACACTGGGAATCCCTTCATGGAGGCCATTGTCATTATACGTGGACCCTTTACATAAATGCCTATAATCAGTCTGTAGGTTTTACTATACAGAAAGTAATTTGAGAATTTAGAACTCATATTGAGACTCAAGATGAGTGATTCTCAACCTAAGCTGTGTTTTACAGTCAACTGCATTTTGACAAGGGTGCCAAGTAATTCAATTGACAAAGAAAAGTTCTCAGTAAGTGGTGCTTTGACCATGTGCAAAGTCGCAAAATTGGATTCCCATTTTGTAGCAGTCACAAAAATTAACTTGGAATAGATCATAAACCTGAAAATTAAGAGCTAAAGCTATAGCAATCTTAGAAGAGAACAATGGAGTAAATTTTTGTGACCTTGGGTTAGGCAGTAACATCCTTCCCTCCTACTTCTAGTCTGTGGTTTATGGAGCAGGGAGGAACAAGAAAATCATATAGAACACTAAAATTAATATATTCAATTTAAAGGACTTTCATTTGTTCTGAGCTAGATATCTCATGTCTATCCCACAGACATTTGTTAGTGTTTATACTCCCAGTTATTTCAGAACACTGCTTTGGGAATCATACAACCCAATATTTCATCAATAGTTTACTATGTCCCATCCTCTTTACAATAGGAAGAAATAGACTAAGTGATCTTCTTTCTTTTTAGTGCAAATACAGGGGCTGTGGTTATATTTGTGTGTACATTGTTTTTAAATGTTAGAAGTGTCATTATTTTGCATGTATTTATATGTTGCATGTATTTGCATAAATCCTATGTTGCAAATGTGGGTATGGAAGATATTAATTTTTCTGATATAGGCTAATATATGTGTCATTTTCATCTGTTGTTTTGATGCCACCATCTTGGCAGATGCTCTTTCTTCATCTCCCTGAGAGTGTTCATTATAGAATCTATACAAGATGACTCGAATATGCATTTCTACACTGCAGAGAATGGTCTCGTTTAAATACAGCCCCATTAACTGATTGCAAAGGATCCCAGACTCTTGTTAATTGTCATGTGCTTGACACTGAAGTTTTTACTTAAAGTTCAGTTGTTATTATAATGTAGATTAGTGGTGACTTCTTGAAGATGCACTAAGCAGATTTTACAGACCTACATTCATGACAAATTTGTTAACTATCAAATGTGTCATTTCTTATAAATACAAGGAAAGGAAGTATTAAAATAACTCATACCCACTTGAGAGAAAAACTAATGTTTCTTAAATTTTTACTTTTCTAGTGAAGGAAGCCCGTCCCCCAGGGTGGAGCTGCTGCATAACATCGACCCAGACTTTGTGGACATCTCGCCCTGTGAGTGCCTTTCCTTTCCATCCTTACTAAACCAGGTCTCTTGTGCTTACAAAGAGGGCTTTATTGCTTAGTATGTCTCTAGTCTGACATTCTCTTTTTTCACTTGGGTTTGCTATCCAGGTAAGCAGTTTTCCATGGCATCTGTTGTACTGATATCACATGGCCTTGGTGCCACCGAGGATAAATTCTGTTCTGGGCTCTCCCACTCACCAGCTGTGAGACCCAGAGCTAGTGAACTCTCCTGGCCCCAGCATTCCCATCTTTAAGAGAACCAATGGGACCTGAGAGACTCCTTTTCACCATAGCTGTGATGTTGTTGTTCTTACCTGAGCACAGCCTTCTTCCAGAAAACTCAACTTCAAATATGCCAGCCCATTTTATGATGGGTTGGCCAGGTGTGCCCAGCTCCTGTGGGGTCTCACCAACAGGACTTTGCTAACTTCGGGCAATTTAGACTGATTCCTATTGCCTAAATCAACCCAGGGGGCACCCTGCTGATTCCTTCCGGGAAAGAGGCCATTTCGTGCTCTCTATGTAATCGTCCAGTGTAAAATCACGCCTGGCTTCCTAATGTCCCTCGAACAGTGAGTTTGGGTCTAGGAAGCTCTAATTATTAGGCATGTTGCCCAGGTCACATCATAATGCTCATCTTGAATCTCCTTTTATAAAATAGTACTCTTACATTCCCTTCATTCATTTGCTGCTCACGTCTGCTCCTTAGACATACTGTAACCTGCTTTGTCCTGACTCTCCTTTGTCCTCTCCAATCTGTGCTACAACCTGCCGTGAGATCTCGCTGCTCAGAGCACGACCCTACAGCAGTCTTCACTGTGCCACTGGTGGTTTGAGCCCAGCTCACCACGCCAGCCTCACTCCCCCAGGCTCTCCTTGCCATTTTCTTACCCTACCAGACACTTGCTATTCCAAACATATATGTCCTTGTATATACTCTTGAATACACTATTTCTTGTGCCACAAGCATCTGTCTCTCCACAGCTGTACATCACTCTTTAAAACCCAGTACAAACACCGCCTCTGTGAATGCCTTCCAGAAGCCCTGGGGGTGGCCATTCCTCCCTCCCTTGGTGATGTCTCCACTTCACACACCCCAAATTCTCTGTATGTGCCTGCATTTCCACTAAACTGAACAGCTCTTGGGAATGATGGTCTTTGCCTTACTTATCTTTTCTTTTCATCAGGCAACACAAATGCCCAGCCCTTGGTAGAATATTTTTATTGTTGATTTGGAAATAGTTTGGATATACTTAATTAAATGTGTTATTAATATTCATTTCATTTCTTTTTTCTTTTACATGGCTAATAGAAATCTTAAACTCAGTCACCTTGCTTATTTATTTATTTATTGTTATTGGTCTAGCACCTACAAGGTGCTAGGAAATGAGTTGATTAGCAGTGGCAAATCCCCTTAGTTACTGAAAAGCTACTACATCATTGGTTCTTAAACTTTTCTCTGTCTCACCACCTCTAAAGAATATGACATTTTCCAGTCTGTAACTGGTTCATGAGACCAGGAGTTAGTCATGTCAGAGTCTTTGAGGGTGGCTACGTCAGAATAGAGCTGGTCTGTAAAACTTTTGAATAATCTAATGCACTGTAGAACCCAGTATAACATAAAGGGACATGTTGAATATGTTGCCCACATTATAAAGGTAATAAACTATTCTCGCCCTCTAAGTTCCATCTACAAGCAAAAAGCCTTAAGGCCCCCTTCACTCACTGACCTGTATTTTGTCTTGGCATCAGAAGTGGTTGTGAGAACTATACCCTGGGATAACACAGCCACAGGGCTGCTTACTGCAGGGTCCTCAGTGTAACCTGCTGTGATCTTTTCTTTGACACCATTCTTGTTCAATGTGTGCTTTCTCCTCTCAGGTGTTGCCCCTGTGAAATCCCCATCACCAGTTCACCCATGTGCCATCAACACAGTCCCTTGTGCTCTTCCCATCCCTGTTTTGATCCTTCTCTTTCCTCTCCCCCTGCAGAATGTCTGTGATTTATAATTGTCTGTTGGTTTTGATTTTTAATTTATTATAATTACCTTTGTTTTCCCTGATCCCTTATTTGTTTCCTCTACATTCCTCCTATAAATGAAAGCATCTGATATTTTTCTTTTTCTTCCTGACTCCTCAAGCCTTTTCTATTGGTAGAGTTAGATGTCTTTTCTTGGCCATATACCCTTGGTGGGTTGTGACTAGGGTACTAATAGTAAAAGCCCAAAGGATGGTACACACAGATACATCCCAGGGGACATAGGATCTACCTTAAACCTGGATATTCTGCTGTAAAACATAAAAAAAAGAAAATCAAAGAACTATAACATTTACATCCATTAATATGGCTACAGGAAGGAAGGGAGGGAGGCAACTGTTTATTATTCAAATAATAATAGAATCATGTGATCAGTAATGAAGTCTGGGAGCATGATAACTCAATTTTTGTTCATTTTTTTCAGTGTTTTGGATATTCTAAGTCTTTTGTGATTTCGTGGAAATTTTAGGATATTTTTGTTTTAATTCTGTGAAGAATGCCATTGGGATGTTATTAGAGATTGCATTCAATCTGTATATGGCTTTAGGGGAAAGGGCCATTTTGACAATATTGATTCTTCCAACTTATGAGCATGGAGTGTCTTCCATTTCTTTGTGTCCTTTTAGTTTCTTTCAGTAGTGTCCTGTAGTTTTCAGTGTTTAGGTCCTTCACTTCCTTGGTTAAATTTATTCCAAGTTATTTTGTTCTTTTTGAGGTGATAGTAAGTGGTATTGTTTCTATCATTTCTCTTTTTGCCAATTCACTGTTTACTTATAGAAATGCAACTGATTTTTATGTATTTGTTTTGTAGCCTGCAACTTTACTATAAACATTTATTATTTTTAACTTTTGTGTGTGTATAGTCTTAAATTTAATGTTTTCTCTATATATTATAATGTCATCTGCATGTAATTTTTCTTCTTCCTTTCTAATCTAGATAGCTTTTATTTCTTCTCTATTTGCTCTGGCCAGGACGTTGAATACTATGTTAAATAATGGTAGTGAGAGTGGACATCCTTCTCCTGACCTGAGTAAAAGCCTTCAGTTTTTTCCCATTAAATATGATGCTAACTATATCTTTGTCATATATGGTCTTTATTATCTTTAGATATGTTCCTTCTATACCCATTTTAAATCTTTTTAACTTACTACCATATGCCCAGTGCATAGCACAGAGCCTTCCATCATAGTAAGTTCTCAGTAAATATTTATTATTAATGAATGATGAATAGATCATTGTCATATTGTCTCAGCCTTTCCTGACCCTAAAAATACCTCAAGATGACAATTCATGCTCTCCTTTTAAATCCTGAAGCTGCATTTTTTTAAAAAAAGATTTATTTATTTATGCATAGAGAACTGGGGTACAGGCCAGAGGTTCAGGGGGGTGAGAGGATTCACCAGAGACAGAAGGGGAGCAGAACAGGCAGATGGACGAAGCACACTGCTGAGGGGAGCAGCAGGCGGGTCAGGAGAGGTCTGCCACGCCATGTGGGTCACCTCCCGGTCAGAGATTGAACTCATGTGGAAGTGGCTTTAGCTCTAACCCGCTGCACCACCAGGGAGGGCCCCTGAAGCTATATTTTATATTTTGTGCCTAAGTAAAAATATATTAATAAAACAAATCACTTCTCAGTTTTAATTAACATTATCATATACAGTTGTTTGAAACTACTTATTCAACTTCACTCTGCTCTTCACCTGCATTATAAATACCTATCTGAAGAGATGGGGTAGGATTTTCTTACACTCTTCACTCCTTTCCCCCAGAACTCCTAAGCGGGCAAACACAGTTTATAAAGACCCTGGACTCACCGACCTGGCTTCCCCTGAGTCCAGTGCATCCTCTTTTTGTTGTTCTGTGCTTCATGCTAGCACCTGTTAATAAGTTCCCTCTCATTGTTTCACTGGCCCTGAGCCTCATGGTGTCTCAAATCTGGCTCCACTTTTATCTCCCCTCCCCTTACCCCCATGTGCTAGATGAGATGTGTGGGCTGTAATTGCTTTCCTGTGTGCTTTGAGGAAACTTTATTCACCTTTGCATTCTTTGTTTTGAGGTAACCTTGGGTGTGTTTTGGTCTCAGTTCAGATAGTACCTTTTTTTCATCTCTCCTACTATTCTAAGAATAGATCCTAAGAATTCATTCCCCCATATCTTTGAAATACTTCTTTCTAGACAGCTGATCTAGACTTGGTGTTTTTCATCTACAATATAGGGTGGGCTGAGGAAGAAACCTGTAAGAGAGCCTGAGGGATCAGGATGGCACAGAAAAGTTGTTTTATGGGAAATCTGGAAACATCCTAATGATGGGAGCATCTGTGATCCCAAGTAATGCCTGAGATCCTGTGGGTGTGAATTCCGCTTGGCATCATTTGAGGAGGTTCAGTTCCAAGCTCTGTTCCTTTGGTTCTAGCCAGCATGACTCAGACCATGAGAAATAATTTCAAAAGGCATTAGTTTGCCTTAGAGGGGAATGAATATATATATATGCACATCCATCCTGCAAGCCTCAGGCCTGACCTGGGCTGGTCTGAGGTAATGACCATAGCCTGTCTAATACCACAGCCTACCTTGGCAGTCTGCAAACTCAGTTGTTAGCATATACATGTATACACATCTACAGCACTCGTATTCTGCTGGGAGAAGCATGATTACAGATGAAGGGCAATGACAGATGTGAGCGTTTTCCTCACCACCAAAGGCCAAGTCTTCAAAGTGGTTCTGTACAGCTTTGTTACTATTTCATTTAAAGGGCCTCTTCTCTATAAAAGTTATAATGAGATGTTATTTCTGCTCATGATTACAGGGTAAAAGAACAGTCTTCCCTTCCTCTCCTCTCTCACAGACACTCTTTCTGTGGTAAAATTGTCAGAGCTGTACTCAAGATCCAAGAGTCGTCTGCATTGAGTGTTTGGAGCTGTGTCCTTTTCCCTTATAGATCCAGGCTCAA